TTCTTGGCAAAAACACTACTCTAACTTCTTTAATTTCTTGCTTCTAATCATTTCGGTTTTGAGGAAGTAAAAGTGATAGCAGAAGTTCTTTGTATGAACTTCTTTAGACCTTCGCCGTAATAAAGCTTTTTTTGGCGGAATCCAAGTGTTATCAGAAACTCTTTACAAAAACACCACTTTAACTAATTTAATTCTTTCTGATAATATGATTACTTTTAAAGAAGGGCAAATGTTAGCAGAAGTTCTTTACAAAAATACTACTTTAACTTCATTGGACGTTAGTAATAATCAAATCGGTTATGAAGGAGTAAAATTATTGGTAGAAGCCCTTTGCAAAAAACGTAATTAAGTATTTGTAAAAATCAACTTAGCTTTTAAAGAATGCAAAACATTAAAAAAAATTCTTTATAAAAATAATAATTTCATTAGAAATAAAGTATAAATATTAAAATTTAGAAATTTAATACAAATTCAAAATTTTACATTTTATTACAGTTTATACAGGTGACCCTCTTTAATATCAACCTATTTGAATTGGTTCTAAATCATATTGATAATGATATTAATGAGAAATCATATTAATGCTGATGTATATGAGAGAATTTTGATATATAAAAATTTCTAAAAATAGGTCTCGTTGTTTAGTTACGGAGTCACCTGTATATTGAAATTTAGAATTTATACTTCATCAAAGTTTATGTATGGAAAATTTAGAATTTATATTTCATTAAAATTTATGTATGGAAATTTAGAATTTATATTTATGAAAGTTTATGTATGGAAATTTAGAATTTATATTTCATTAAAGTTTATGTATGGAAATTTAGAATTTAACATAAACCCAAAACTTTATTTTTCTTTAAGCAGTATTTTACATATAAAAATATCAGTTATTTATAGTATTATTAGTTTAAAATAGAAGCTAAAACATTGTTCTTAATCTATTTAACCATTTTTCTTGGCCAATTCTGAAAAAAAAAATCATACAAATCGTTTTTTTTATACATACAGTATAAAAATTTATTTTGGATGCTTATCGTCATTACTAGTAAGAGTTGTAAACCCAACGATGTTTTGCCTTTAATGTTACGACTTATATTTTTTTTAATCTAAAATTTGCAAGGAGTAAATTACAATTATGGTTGAAATTTTGTATGCCAGTGATAATGCGCATCTCTTTTATTGTATTTGAAAATCCTCACAGTTGACTGAAAATTGTCCGCATCCGATGGTCATAAAGATTCTTTGTGGTTATTATGTGCAAGCATTTTATTATGAATATCAAAAAAACATGAACAAAATTATTACGACGTGCGCGTTATTTTGGGACGAGTATAGAAACTATCTAATGTTATTTCTACCAGTAAACTAAAATTATCATTTAAGTGGTTGGTTAACTGCTCACTTCATGAAATATTTTAAAAATTTACAGTGCATTTCAAACTACCGTAATTAGCAGATTTCATGTATCACACTAGTAATCGGAAATCTAGAAAAAATTCCAATTCGATTAATTTTTTAACCAATCATATATAGGCATTTTTTTCTGTTTAGATTTCTGATTCCCGGTGTGATAGATAAATCCGCTGATCAATGTTGTTACGACAAGGGAGAGACTTTCTTTTTATACTGCCAATTTAGCCGATGGTCGCAAGCATTAAGTATTTGTAATAAGCGAACAAGTAATTATGGAGCAGAATTAATTTCTTATTTATTCGACTTTTGCAGAAAGAAGATCTCCTTTTATTTACAAAGATTCACCTCTATTTATATTGAATTAGGCTCTAATTAGCTATTATGCAGAACGTAAATATGGGCTAATTCTATGAAATTGTCGTAATGATCAGTACAGTAATTACTCGATTATTACTTAATTACAGGGTAAGCTATTATAGTGTTACACAACAAAAAGTGTAATTGTTAATAATGTTACGTTATTTTACGTAACAATATTCGTTTTCTCTTTTCGGAATTTATCGCAATTTTATTATGTATTAACCAACTGGCCTTATTAGATCGACTGACTTAGCTACATCTTTTTTATAATACTAGGCTAGGATACTTCATAATTTCGTGACAATACATCAATAAGATGATTAACTGAAGTTAACGCAGAACACAAAACAAAACCTGTTGTAAAACACCGGAGATCCGTTTGTGTAAAACAATTTCTGTCATTTATAATAACAACAACTTCTGACTATGGTTTCTACGTAAGTATCGGTTAGGAAAAAACACTTTCGGAAAAAAATCACCCGAAAATTTTGTGCACTGATCTCAACGGCTCTATTGATTAATCGGTTTTTATTATACTGAATATACAAGCCGATCAGCCGATTTTGCTCTAATTATAGTAATATGTATTACTGAAGAAGCGCACCATCAGTATAAAATGTGCACCGAACGTAACTTCTGTATCACTTTGGCTGAACATTAAATATCCTCCGGACAACACCAATATGCAATCTTAATACTTTTTAAGTTATTTATTTGTTTAGCACAATTTCGTCTTTTGGCACTTTTAAAATGATAGAATTACCGAATGAATGCCTTGAGGAAATATTTACTTACCTTAAAAATTATCCCAGACACTTATTTTCATGTCTTCTTGTAAACCGTCA